AAAAAAAATAATAGTAAAGTCAGAATTTTACTAAGTAAATCAATTCTGTCTATTAAGTAAAAATTGTTCAAAAGATCGAAATACATATATTTTGAAATTTTTATACAATTTGTCTATTTTTTTATTAATATGTTTTTACATTTTATATTAAAAAAATTGATTAAAATTTTTTTTACAAATTTTTATTTAATAATAATAAAAAGTAAATATCAAATAATAAAATTTATTATAATTATATAAAAATTTTAGAATATATGTAATTTGATCTTCTGAACAATTTTTACTTAATAGACAGAATTGATTTACTTAATAAAATTTTAATTTTACTATATAGAATATATTATAAATTAATTAAAAAATATTATTTTTATTTAAATTATTTTAAAAAAATATGATTTTCAGTTTCTAGTTATTAGTATTATTATTATATTATATTATATTCTATTGTTGTATTATTATATTATCATGTAATATTATTAAGTAGTTTTGTATAATATGATGAACAGAAAGAATGGTTACCATTTCTACCATTTCTACTATTTCTACTATTTCTACTATTTCTACTATTTCTACCATTTTTACTATTTTTACCATTTTTACTGTTTCTACTATTTCTACTATTTTTACTATTTTTTATTATTTGTATTAGTTTTATTAGTTTAGAAAAAAGATATATAAACCCTGGCTTTTCTCCTTTCTGCCAGATAAAACTCAGATATCCTCTCTAGATACAGATACTCTTTAGTTATAAGAATATTATATTTTGTAATTAAAGTCTTATATTGTAAATAAAATATATCTTTCTTTAAACTATATACTTTCTATGAACTGCTCTTAGTGAAGATATATTCTACTTTTATACTGCTATAATCTCGCAACAGAGCTCTATAGCTATGTGCTTTGTTAATTGTGCTATATTAAGAAAGCTATAGTTCACTTGTAATACTATCTAGTACTATAATAAAAATTATATATTATATATGGAAATTCTATTTTTATCCAGGTTAAAGTTATCTGATATATAATTTTTATTGTACTTTATAATATAAATTCATACAAAATCATAAAATTTATCTACTCTAACTTCTAATTAACCAATCTATAGAATTTTTAGTTAATTATAGTAGTTTGTATTATATAATATAATGAAAATTATATATCAGGTGACTTTAACCTGGGTGAAAATAGAATTTCCCTATTATATATGAGGTATTCATACAACACATAAATTATATGAAGATATGCAAATAGTATTAAATAGTACAAGTCTAAGATAAATTCTTGTGATTATATAAAATTAAGAAACCAGAAAAATAGATGCCTATTTGGCAAGACTTGAATAGAGAGATAATATAAACTTTCAACAATAGCTACTAGAATAGACTTTATCCAAGACTAGTTAACTAGATGAGACAAGAGTATTGACAAGTTGCTTTATCAACCAGATTATCAGAGTATTGATCAGAAGAAAAAGATCAGTAAATACCAAAAGACTAGTATCTCTTCTAGGCTATTTAAATTGGTAGTTGAAGTAACTAATTAGAGAATACTAAAAGAGAAGGTATCAGATTATTTTGAAAAGGAAAAACTAGAATTTGAATGAACTTTACAAGGACTAAATAGATAATGATAACAACTTCAGCTCACAAGTACTTGTCCTTAAACTCAGTATAAATTATTGAATAACTAGGTATTATAATAATAGTAGATACTGAACTGCTCTAATAAGTGATGTACTTGAGAATAAAATAGTTATATAGGTAGTATATAATAATTCAAGAGCTGTAAAATAATAAATATACCTCATATCCTAGATAAGATTAGATTAAATTGATATAAGAAGTTCAGATTAGAGGGTTTAAATAGGAGATCTATAGGCAGATCTTAGATAAAGTATAAAGAGAATAACTATAGTAATATAGCAGAACTCTTTAATAGTTAAAGTTGTATATATGTCCATATGTATTCTTATCAAATATACTATGTCTGGACCCTTGAAAGTACTAGTAATTTCTGGTATACCTAATAAATATGTTAAGCCAAAGAGGCTAACCTTGACTATAAAAAAAAATATATATATATATTACTGTATATATATGAGTATTGCTAAAAAAAAAACTTAAAAATTTAAATATTAATCATATTTAAATTTTGAGATTTTCTTTTAGTGTTACTTGTATATATATACAGTCGGCCCTCTCAGAACCGGTATGCATGGTGGACGGGTTTAGTATCGAAAATGGCAGATTATCAGTTATTACTTATGGAACGGGTGTCTGGTAGATTGATTTTTAACCGATTTTGGCAGGTTATCGGTTTTGACAGGATCGGTTCTGAGAGGGCCAACTGTATACTGTATATATTTGTTCAAAACCAATTAAATTTAATTTTGATTTTGAACAAGGTTTTAAACAGGTTTTGGATATAATATTCAAAAACCAAAATTGTTTAATTTTTTTTTTTTTTTTTGAATATTAATGGTGAGACAATTGTCTAATTTTTTAATACTACTTTAAAACATAAAAAATTACCAAAATTTTTTTTATTCAATTAGCTAAACTACTATAGATCATCACTAAATACCAGCTTATCTATCATGCTAAATTTTTAAAGATTACATATTTAACTGTTTTGACCCAAGTTGTAAACTTTTGACCCGGTTGAACCAACAGGTAGGACCATTCTGAATATACCCCAAGTTTGCAAATCATTATACAAGTGATTTAATTGATTTGAAATTTGTTTTATGCATATTACAATACTTTTGTTTGGAAGCTTGGGTAGATTATCTTTAAAGCAGGCCAAGTACTCTAAGTAAACTTGAAGTTTTCGTAGTTAAATCCCTTTGAATCTCACAACCTTTATATTATATTTCACCTACTGAAGTTATAAGTAATTAACAATCACTATGTCAGGAAAATCTCATTCGTTGAGCAAAAAAAACGTAAAACAAACTTAAAATAACAATTAATAATGGTATTGTAGAAGGGAGAAATTAGTTTGTATTTTTTTATTATACGTATCGCATAGAAATCTTTTAAAAAATTGAAAGTATACAAATAGTATTAATTAACTATACAATTTATTAATATTATCATTATTGAAGATTTAGGATACGATGAAAAGTTTATATACATATTAATAGTTGTGTAAAATGTACATAGATGATTGAGATTTTGTAAATAAATAAAAATGAATACTATTGAAAAATTAATAATCTCGATTAAATTAATAAATACACGCTTACTTACCTAATCATAACATTTGGCGGCATTTACTATGAACTTTTAATGATAAATTTTAATTAAATTTCGTTCTTTTTCATTTTATAAAATTTTATTGGCTAATTAGCACGTGATACTTTTCTCATGATAAAAATTTACAATTTTGATTGGCTGCATGATCGGGATTATCATTTCCTTATTTGGGACGGTCCCTCCTGTTGGTTGAACCATTTTGACACGGGTGACCGGTTTACACCGGAGCACCAAAGCAATGCATGAATATTGCGCGAGGAAGATACAAACTAGAACCGGGTTATACTATAACCCGGTTCTAAATTCTAGTTTTTCACAATCATGCTTATTTGTTTGTATCTTTCTCGCGCAATATTCATGCATTGCTTTAGATGCTCCGGTGAAGATGGCAACCCTCCAGCTTTCCATATCGTGCATAACTGCCCAGCTTCATCGAAAACAATGGTGATTTGTTCGCTCGTGATCGATTCTTCTACTTCAGTTGGATCAACCAACAAATGCTGCCTATGATTGTTGGTGTGATACTATGTTAAGTGCAAATAATATAGATAACAATATAAAGTATAAACGTAATAAAGCGGATTACCCATCGAACAATGCAACCGTTACTGAATATGGTATTCGTTGAAGTTTAAGAGAGACTGACAACTCCTCAGTAGCTTTTACTAT